CAATATTCTGGCTTCCCATATCACAAGCAGGTGCTACTTGAGGGTAGACTAGCCTTACTGGGTCTCCTAGAGAACAGGTTACTGTATAAAGCCGCATTAATGAGCCTCCTGATGCCTAGCTCACTACTCTTCCTCTGGGCCCTGGTTAAAGTGGGCCACAGAGGCAACCACGGGATGTCAGCCAAAGGGATGCTCAATTCTATCCCTGAATGCCTTAATGGGCTGATCTAGGAATTTGTAGTTACAGGCATAGTCCTGATAGTTTTAGGGTGATGCCTACGAGAAGATAATTAGGCTGCTTGGTCTGACAAGTTAGCCATCCCTATAAAGGGTCTGGAAATCAAACTGTGCAGCCTGAGTCCCTCAGTGAGAGAGAGAGAGAGAGAGAGAGAGAGAGAGAGATGAAGAAAGTAGTTGGAAGCATCAGATTAATTACCACCAAGTAAAAACTCTCAAATAGAAGTTCTAGAAAGCATTTGCCAAAGGTCTGATGTCCGCTACAAATTTGAAACAAGCACAGCTTTACAATTAGCTTAAATTGTACATTAGAAAAAGCAATAATATCAGTGATAAATATTTAGAAAAATGCTATAGGCAATTTTAAAGGACAATGATAAATTACATTGCACATAAACCATACAAGATGTATTCCTCTCAAAACTTTCATGACTTCCCATTCCTTCTACGCCATGCTTTAACCTGGAAATACTCTATAAAACAATTGGTAAGAGCACGTGAGTTTACCTCATGGCTTGGAATAACTTAGCAGTGGATTAGAGCAACTCTATACTGGATTATTTTGATATACAAATTTTAAATTAAGTTTCGGAACAACTTAGCAAATTACAGTTTTGTTCTTTTGATAGATGTTAATTAGCTTATCTTTTATCCCACCCATGTTAGATAAGGGGTGGGGGTGGGGATGACGAAAGGAAAAAAAAGAGTTAAAAGCAGTTGCTGCAGCAGCAGCAGGGAATCAGGCATTATTGGGGTTAAGTCAGAAGAACCAAAGAGGGAGAGCAGGTTAGGTTGAGGGTGAGAATGGAGAAAGGCAAGATGGCAGACAGGGTCCTGCCACATGAAGGAAGGCAAGATGGTGGACAGGGTCCCATCAGGTGGAGGAGAAAGGCAAAATGGTGGATGGGGTCCTACCACATGGAGGAGTGGGAGGGGAGCTGGGAAGATGGCATCAGAACAGGAAGTGGAGAGAGGGGGCTTGGGAACATGGTACCTGCGCAGGAAGTGAAGGATCCGAAGGAGGAAGGTTCTGAGTGGGGGAGAGCAAACTGGGGGAAATGTAAGGTAGAGGTCAGAGAGGTTCTTGGGCAGGGACAGGGACCTTCTGTGCAGCAAGGATGTCCACACAGAGGGAAAAAGGAGGAACAAAGAGAATGATGGGGTTAGGTGGAATTAGGTGGGGCAAGATATGGGAGTAGATAGAATAAGGGAGGGGTGGGAACATAGCAAAGAAACAGAAGGTAAAGCAAAAGTGGCACTGGAATCCAGTGGCTACTCAGTAAGTGAAGGAGTCTGGAAACATTACAGAAGGACTGGGAGCGTAGAAGAGGTGACCAAAGAGGAGGTGACCTTGGGGAACATGGCACAGGGACTGGAGGAGTAACGTACAAGGTGGATGGGCCAAAGGCTCCGAGAGAGGCGAAAGTGCAGGTAAAGAGGCTGGCAGAGAAGCAGGTGGGGAAGAAGTGGGGGCTGGGTGGAGTCCTAAAAGTTCTGGCGGCTCAGAAAAGGTAATGGTTAGGTGAAAAGTCTAAGAGATCCTTGGGAGAGTGGGAGGGCTTAGCCTTGGCCTGGAGAATCTGAGTCGTGGAACAGGAGGAACATAGGGAAGGGCAGGAACGGAGTTTCCAAAAAGCTTCCACATTACGAACTTAAGACCATTTACCCTCGCGATGACAGAAATTACCCAATTCCGTGAGGATCTGAAAATCAAACGTGCCTTCCGCTGGCCATTTGGAGCCTTTTCCAACACGTACTGTGGCCAGGCCACGGTTGAAAAATGGACAAGGCGTTTTCTGCGTAAGTCCTGGCCCAGACCCATGGTTTTAAAATTGGCCAATAAACAGCTTAAGGGGGTTGGGGGCCATGGGCTCAGGACATTTTGTTGCCCGTCCTGTCCCGATAAAGTATCTTGCGGCTAATCTAAACACAAAGAAGGCGTCCCCGCTTTGAAATTCAGACTAGAGGGGAACCTGGTTCCCGTTAAGGAGGGCCAGTCAGTAGGGGGGACGTCTCACGTCCCTCTGAGGGCCCTGGATTGGTGGGAGCCGGTCAACGACCAGGGCGTCCCCCGTCTCGCTGAGGGCTCAGGACAGGCAGACCACGTGTACACGGTTTGGGGGGTCTGCAGGAGGTTAGGGATTACTTTTCAGGACAGGAGGAGCAGGGCGGAGGGGCTTACCTCACGTCTGTCGCTTCGCAGCCGGCAAAGGCCTTGGGGCTGGCGGCTTAGAGGTGGAGAGAGGAAGGGGGGAGCTCAACCAGTTTAGGGAGCCCACGCATCCCTTCCCGGGTTCCCGGCACCAAATGTTAGATGATGGCCACCGACCGCCCGCCCGCTTGGTGAAATAATATCGGCAAGTTGTTCAGAGTTGAGATGGAAGCTTTATTGGAAAATCCGCTCCTGGGCCCCCTTCGCGCAGAGGGGAAGGAAGAGGGAAGCGAAAAGGGCGTCTGAGATACGTGTGGAGGAGTTTTATACCCCTCTAGACACGTGGGGAGGCAAAGGGGCTGTCTGTGCCCCAACTATGCAAGGAATGTCCATTCAGGTGTCCCATTGGTCACCTGGAATCCCGCCAGGTAGGTGACGTAACTGGCTCCTGTGGCCCCTCCTCCTGTTACAGGCTGGAGCCTAGGAGATGTGGGGGCGGGGCAGGCCAGACCCTAGTCTCCAGTGCCCTGGGCAGGGATCAAGGGGTACCCACATACGATGCAGAATGCCATCGTGGGGACACAGCGTCACGCTGAGGACAGGGGAGGCCGTGGGACAGAAGAAGGGATTCTGGCAAGGACGCAGGCGGGAGGGGAGTCCACGGGGCTCAGTCATTAACCACCTGAGGGTGCTCCAGGGACTCCCCCCAAGTTCTTGTAAAGCTGACAGGGACAAGGAAAACAGCAAAGCTGAAACTGGGAGTTAGTTTAACACAAGACAGGACGGAACTGGAAAAGCTTTAGGCAAGGAAGTGACACAGGTGTGGGTCTTGGGGCAAAGCTGTCTGCAGCTGCTACAGACAGGGCTAGGGACGGAGAGAAGCGTCAAACTAAGAGTCATCCCTAAGAGTTTAAAATAAGTGACAGTTTTTAAGCAATGAGGAAAGAAGAGGTGAGTTTTGGAAATAGTGGGAGCTCAAACAGGCAAGCCGTGGCTGTGCTCACTTAAACAACTAGTAAGACAAAGAGGAAGAACAAATGAGAGCTAGCTTTGTAGCGCGGGTGACCAGCTGGTTTCCCAGTTTCCCCTGCACACCGAGAAAGCGCGCCACGGCCGCCCCTTCGCCATCCTAGAGCGACGTTCGAGAATGTTCTGTGTCTGCTCCGTGTCAGTCCACTCTAGACAGAGACCACAGGGACAGGGACCCATGTCCGGCTCTGCCCATCCCCGTGTCCTCAGCTCAAGCGGAGAGCGTGAGCGAGCAGGCCCGGCGCTTTAAAATACCCGTGGAAAAGAGACAGTACCTCCTCAGTGCATTTCTCCCACAAACTTTTTAAAAGCCCTTTCATAGTTGTCAAAAGAAAAAAAAAGTAAATACACAGGAAGAAAAGACGCTTGTGTGCGCTCCACCGTGGCCTCGCCAACGCGCACAGGGGCGCAGGGAGCGCCAGGTCGGCACGAGGTCGGGGTGGGCCCCTCGGACCTCCCTCCTCCGCCAGGTGCGTGGTCCCGGCACCCCGGCCGTGCGGAGGTGCACCCAGCCTCCCCCCGGAGTGTGCTGCCCCCGGCCGCCCTGGAGCCCCGGCCAGGCCCCCCACGACCCTGCCGCCCTGGAGCACCGGCTGCCCTGGAGCACCGGCAAGGCCCCCCCGACCCTGGAGCACCGGCCAGGCCCGGCCCACCTGCCCTGGAGCACCGGCTGCCCTGGAGCACCGGCCAGGCCCCACGACCCTGCCGCCCTGGAGCCCCGGCCAGGCCCGACCCACCTGCCGGACACTCGGCGGGGCTGGCGCGGGCAGCCGGCTTGGGGTGGGCAGTCTGGAGGCCGCACTTGCCCCACCTGTGCAGCGCTTTCCGCCCTGCACGTCGTCCGGCACGTACCCGCCATGACCTGGGCTGCAGGAGGGCGAGGAGGGTCGCTCCCGGCCACGCCCTACAAGCCAGGAGGGGCTCATCCTGCAGGCCCCAGCCGGACTTCCTGCACTTCCCCCTCTGCACGGCTCTCCCCTGCTTCCTGTGGGGCGACTCTAAACCAACTGTAGCAACCTCTCTCCCTTAAGCACAAAAAGTATCGGACCCGGAGCCGTGGCCTAGCGGCTAAAGTCCTCACCTTGAGCACGCCGGGATCCCATATGGGCGCCAGTTCTGGTCCCGGCAGCTCCACTTCCCATCCAGCTCCCTGCTTGTGGCCTGGGAAAGCAGTCCAGGAAGGCTCCTTCGCTCACGAGCGAGACCCGGAAGAGCTTCTGGCTCCTGGCTTCGGATTGGCGCAGCTCAGGCCATTGCGGTCACTTAGGGGAAATCAGCGGAAGGAAGATCTTTCTCTCTGTCTCGCCTCCTCTCTGTATATCTGACTTTGCAATAAAAGCAAATAAATCCTGAAAAGAATAAAAAGTATCAACCTCTGTCTCTCCCTTACCCTTTTTCTTTCTGCTGCTTAGTCCTGCTGGTTTGTATCCCTCACTCTCTGAATAAACTTTTTAAGCAGTGTTGGTGTCTGCGCTTAAAATGCTATTTAAGTAAAAGACAAACAGCTGGGAAATATTTGGCCTAAAACTGTTGTGGTCTTAGGCGGTTTGCTCAGGGTCACCAACTGGTCCTTTCTGCCCACCTGCGACAGCTGCCGCCACCCGGAACCTGGGAGGGCTGTGGTGTTGTGCAAACACTGCCCTCAGAGCCCCCGGAAGGCCCAAGACGGAGAGGGGCTCACTGCGGGCCACCTGCCGGGAGGGGATAGAGAGAGGCAGAAAGAAAAACGGAAACTGCCAATCGAGTTCTTCAGACTTCAGCGTAAAATAAGAGTAAATCTAAACCACACAATTCCATCTGCACGTTTCTTGTTTTAATCAGGCCTGTGAGCAATGTATCTTAATTTTCTTGTGCTGGTGATTTCTATCTGCACAAATACTTGGAGTGACCTTCTTTTAAAATATCCCACTCTGTAGTATATGAAAATCCTTACCCTCTTCTTATAGATGGTTTATCAAAAACGACTCAAGAAAAAGTTGAGAATATTTCAGGTAATTGGGTGAATTTTCAGCCACATGTTATTTTTTTTAAATTCATTCCTGGAATTTTCCTGAGAAGTGACAAGAATTTCTTTGGTTGGCAAGCAACAGCACAAAAGATAACTTTACTCGTTTTCCCACAATTCTGCCCTGCTTGCTACATTACATAAATTGGACATAGTGCAGACACAAACGTCATTTTTCCAGAGACTCTTGCACTGACAAGTCATATCAGCTTCATGCTGCTCAGTTTGCTCCTTTTCAAAATAATGGAAATATTCAAATAGGTTACCTTTCACTCTGCATATAAAAGAGCTTGCTTTGTTGAGGATATGTGAGAAAATAACTGAGTAAGATGTCATGCCTAGGTGGTACAGAAGAAAGATTATAGTATTTCCTGATTTGCACATGTGCCTGTATATCCACTGGAGTTTTGAGTTTTGCTTTTGATAGTCAAATGTAAATAAGAGATCCTGGACATAGATGCTAGAAAATTTGGGAATTTTAGGTGTATTGCTATGTAGTATTTGAAAGATGAATCTGAAATAAAACACGTTATGCCTTTTATACTTCTCAGGTACTATTTATGATGTATGTGAAAAATTCCCATCTTCTCACGGGACTGCTAAGCTTCAACACAATTGACACTTTGGCATGGATACCTAGGGGGCGGGGGTGCTCATTGCATGGGTAACCTTAGCCTCTGCCCAGTGGTGGCCAAGAACAGCTTGCTGTTCCAGGCAAATCAAAGTATTTCTAGACATTCCTCGTGTCACCTGAGGTCAAAATCACCCTCAATTACAAACCACTATTTTAAATGGCAATACATGTGTAGTATTTTATGGATTTCCTTTTCTGAGTCTAGAGAAGCAGCACTTTGTCAGGAAGTTAACCCTTGGTCTCATTCATTATTTGTAGGACTTTGTGAAATGTGAGAATAAGAAGAATGCTACTCCCAGAAGTAATTTGGACTTCCCTGTTTCAGAGCATAGAAATTCTTCCATCAAAAAAGAACAGAAGGTTTGTCTTCATTGTCAAGAACATTTCTGTAACTTTAACTTATGTATATTTAAACCAGGAGATAAATAAAGATAGCAAATTCTGATCAGTACTTATCTAGAATGCCAGGTGTGCCCGGTATAACTCAGTTATCTTCCCTCTCCTGGGGGCTGTCTCTGCTTGGGAAGGAACCTAAAGCATTTGATCAATACGGGCACTGCTGATGTCATACGTGCCCGGTGAGGCTCCTCTTGCGTTTCTACACGAGAATTCATAACCTATCTGTGGCCTCTTTAATTCACCTGCAGCCATCACTTGTTTCCTCTGGCATTCCTCCTCAACAGTAACAAAAACTCTTCGTTTATTAGGTTTCCATACGTCCATCACCTAAGAAAACATACTCTTTACGGAGTCAGGCACCCACGATAGATGTAAACTTGACCACTAAGAAAAAAGAAGGAACATTTCAGAAATTTGGAGACTCCTTACAGCGTTCTCCAACAATTCTTCAGTCAAAAGGTTTGTAATGCATGGTGATCTTTCCATGAGATGTAGAGTACATTCTCATCTCTCATGAGCACATAGCCTCAACAGCTGCTTAGCGGATATCGCACTTTAAACAGGCCTGGTCCTGCATTGTGTACAATGAGAAGAAGTAGTTGAAATGATGAAATAGCCAGGTGTTTGCTGACAGTGCAGGAGAAAGGCTTTTACCACCTGCGGAGACCCAGTAAAGGACAGGAGTGTGGATGCAGTTTGAGGCAGCAGTAGGTGTCCTGCTCGTGGCAGGTGGAAAGCCCTTCGCGGGGGAGCGTGGACGATGAGGTGTTTTGGGGATTAGACGAGTGGAGCACTAGTATGAACTGGACACCAGGGGTGGGGAGAATGGGCAGGGTAGGGAAAGGGCCTGGCAGTGGGAGACATTAACTCAGTGAAACGGATTGTGTGATTAATATTTGCTATGAAAAACGACCCAGAGCTTCTCAAACGTCTTGCTTAGGTGCCCTTTAACTTTGAATAATCATTTTCTTTGTATGGTTATTTACAAAAATCACTCTGACCATTAGAACCTAAGGTGAAAGGACCATGGAAAGATTTGCTTGTGAAAGTCTAAAGTTCCAAAAATATGTCATCATTAGAAGGAATATGGTGTCATCTGGAACCTGTTTTGAGCTAGTCAGTGTCACTCTTTCCGGTGAAGATTGAAAACACCCTGATGTGTTCCTACAAGTCAGCTTCGTGTTCATCCACAGTTTGGGGGATTCAGATTTGTGAGGCCTCTTGGCTGTCCTTTCTTAATTAAAAATTTTTTGTGAGATAACACATTCTCATGTTCAATTATAGCCAGAGACTCAGCCCCACTAAATGGCTGAACCAACAGCAAAATGATCATAGTTCAGCAGGACCACAGGCATGAACTTTTAGATACGGAGCGTCAAAACTATCAGAGTATGCCTGACAGATTCAATACAGTTTGACAAAACGTACTGTATTCGTAGCAAACCCTTCTCTTTTTTCTTAAGGATTTGTTGTTTATTTGAAAGGCAGAGTTACAGCAAGAGGGAGAGACGGATCTGCCGGGCTGATTCATTCCCTAGAGGCCACAATGGCAGCAGCTGAGCTGTTCCAGGTCTCCCGGGTGGGTGCAAGGGCCTAACGACCGGAGCCCTCTCCACTGCTCTCCCAGGCCTTCAGCAGAGAGCAACCAGGACATGAACTGGTGCCCATGTAGGGTGCTGGCACTTGCAGGCAGAGGATTGGGCAACTAAGCCATCACACCATCCCCGATGTTCACTGGACATCTTCACACATGAATAGGTACATCTAGTACCTTACTATTTTAAATTGTGCATAGTTGACTGGTTATGAGTTTACTGTTGCAGAAACCTCTTTCAAGTGACAAACGAATTAAAGATGATTGTGTTACAAATTATCATGTCGTTTTAAGATGATGAAACATTAGATAAGTTGTATTTTGTTGGGCCAGGTTTGTACATGAGGTTAATCTGCCCCCTGACGTGCTTCCATGTATGTTCTGGTTCATGTCTAACTACTCCAGTTTGAATCCAGCTCCCAGTAATGGCCAGTGTGTAGACTGCTGCCGTGCACATGCAGACTGGACAAAGCCCCTGACTCCTGGCTTTGGCCTGGCCCAGCCCTCGTCACTGCAACCATTTGAGGAGTGAACCACCAGATGGAAGATCTGTCTCTCCCTGTGTTTGTAACCCTTTCAAATAAATAGACAAATCTTTAAATTTATATATGTATATCGTTTATCTTTTTGTTTCCTTTGCTATTGTTCCATGCATTTTTTAGGCATTTAATTTTTCCTGTTTGTGAATTCTCTGTTTATGTCCTAATACCAGTTCATATTATAGTATTTTTCTTTGAATTTGTATCTGTTGTTTCTTTATTAAGGACTTCAAGCTTTGCAATAACAAAATAATTTAATTCAGAAATTAATATTTTTATTTTATAGCAAAGAAGATCATTGAAACAATGAGCTCTTCAAACCTCTCAAATGTAGAGGCAAGTAAGGAAAATGTGTCGCGACCCAAACGAGCCAAACGGAAATTATACACAAATGAAATCTCCTCGCCTCTGGATATATCTGGCCAAGTGGTGAGCTGGCGTTTCACTCTTCATCAGTATAAACTTCCTGTTTTTTTGTTTTGTTTTGTTTTCTCAAGAATTCCTAATGTTAGTGGTACTGATGATTTGAATCTCTACTGTGTAGACCATATTTCTTAAGATAGCCAGTGCTGGCGATGCACCTTTATCATAATGACACATAGACACCTCATCAGTGTAAACAAGTGTCAGGCTTTTTGTATTTGACAGTTTATCATAGGAATATATTTTCATTAGTAAAGTTGTTGCTATTTTGTAATTTTTTTGCATCTACCATTAATTTTTTTTTATCTTTATCATGAACCTTGTATAAATGTGGGCCCAGATGCGCCTGGTAAGAAGATGCAGCTGACATGTGGCTGTGTCCTCGCGCCCTGGCCGAGAGCCCTCCAGGTTCTGCTCGGGAGATGGTTGTCGCCCTCCTGTATGGCTCCTCCTCTTCACGCAGGACCTTCCGTCATTAGAAGGAATGCTCAAACTTTTCTGTAATTCTCTTGTTTGCTTAGTGGATGAAAGTAAAGGCAGAAAAGTAATTAAAGGATAAAAAAATATTCAAAAGGAAGTGGTCAAGAAGAGCCAAGAGAGACTTTTTGTTTGTTTTTTGCCGCAGGAACTGCCAGATGTTAGATTGATGCTTGAAGACACAGAGTTAGAGTCACTTAGGACATTGGGGCTGTCCTGCTAGTTACCGTCTGTGCGATTAGTATGTAATTTCAGTTCTTGGCTGAGAGTTATTTCTTAGTGGCAGAATACTGTACTTTGTAAGTTACATACTCATTGCCACGGTGGAAGATCCATTTCTTAAAAATGATTTGAGACGGGCCCGGTGCGGTGGCGCAGTGGTTAAGGTCCTCGCCTTGCACGCCCAGGATCCCATATGGGCGCCGGTTCTATCCCGGCAGCCCCGCTTCCCTTCCAGCTCCCTGCCTGTGGCCTAGGAAAGCAGTCGAGGACGGCCCAAGGCTTTGGGACCCTGCACCCGCGTGGGAGACCCGGAAGAGGCTCCTGGCTTCGGGTCGGCATAGTATGGGCCCGTTGCGCTCACTTGGGGAGTGAATCATCGGACGGAAGATCTTCCTCTCTGTCTCTCCTCTCTGTATATCTGCCTTTCCAGTAAAAAATAATAAAAATAAATCTTAAAAAAAAATGATTGGAGGCAATTGCCTCCAACTTTCTGGTAATTGTTTCAAACTATCCATGTCTGGAATTTAATACAGATTGTAGGTTACTTTTTAATTTTAGAATTGTGCAGCTAGATATTTTACTAAATCGATTACTTTTTTAGGCATGCATTTTTATAGGAAATGGTTTGCCTCTGGTGTCTGAGGACAAAAAAATGCTTGTTTATGTTATTAATTAAGTGGATGAGCTTATGATCTATTTCAAACTAGCTTTTTTTTGTTTTTCACTTACGTTTGCTGAGACTGTGAAATTACTGATTTCAGATTTTAATGGACCAAGGATTGAAGGAGAGTGACCACCAGATTCTAAAGCGAAGACTTCGAGCAAAAATGGAGAAATGAATGGCTCATGGAGGACATTACAATGTAACTTTATAGAGTAGGGCTGAACGTTACAATGATTATACACATAAAGATAACTCTGTATATTATGGTTCATTAAATACCTCTATATAAAACAGTAATCTCTATACATAGTGTTATTTTAATGCAATAAAGAAAGTAAGTTAACAGTTTGTCTGCTTTTTAAACCTTTTCAAAAACAGATTCTTGGGCCTGATGCTGTGGCTCAGTAGCTAAATCCTCGCTTTGCATGTGCTGGGATCCCATATGGGAGCTGGTTCTAATCCCGGCAGCTCCACTTCCCATCCAGCTCCCTGCTTGTGGCCTGGGAAAGCAGTCTAGGACGGCCCAAAGTCTTGGGACCCTGCACCCGTGTGGGAGACCCGGAAGAAGCTCCTGGCTCCTGGCTTTGGATTGGTGCAGCTCTGGCCATTGTGGTCACTTAGGGAGTGAAACCAGTGGACCGAAGTTCTCTGTTCTGCCTTTCCAATAAATATTTTAAAAATCTTAAAAAACAAAAATGACAAAAACCAGTTTCTTTCCAAGTAGCCTATGTTTCCACTTTGGAGCAGTGAAGATCCTAGCAAAGACGCTGTCATTCTCATCTGTTTTTCTGCACATGATGTCATAGGCTGATTATTCAGTTTCTCATATTTAATAGTGTCTGCTAGACTGTGCAACTGACTTTAAAAAAACAAAAAGAAGATGTACTAATTTTATTTGAAGGGCAGAGTCGGGGAGAGAGGAAAGGGCAGATGTTGACAATCATACATATTTTCCCTTTACCATTAAAAAAACTTTGAAAATAATGGGTCAGTTTACTTTCCCGGAAAGGCACATGCTGTTGAAACCTGTGAAATAAAAATTTTTTTAAATAATATTAAGTCAAATCAAAGCTCAGTAATTAAGCCAATCAAAGCTGAGGTTAATATGCTGATAAAGTTTACCAGGAATAATTTGATCCACTTAATACAGACTTAAAATTGAAAGTTAAAAATTAGCTTCAACTGTAACAGGCTTCTCTGCTCATTTTCTTTAAACGATTGAACAATGACCTACTAGGAAAAACAAAGAAAAACACATTTAATGGAGCTGTGTTTCATGGTATACAACTGTTGGATAACAGGTAGCACTGCATAATGACATAGAATATTATGCAATGGATACAACTGTTTGATAATAAAAATGATGAAAGAGGACTTATCATTACTCAGCTTACAAAGCTATTTAATGCAAAAATCTCCATTTCTAGAAGAATGCACACAAATTATTAGCAAAAATGAAGTAGCAGGTTTCACTGCGATGGCCAAACTAACTCATCCTGTCTACAAATGCCAGCAACCTAAGTGGGCAGCAGTTTATGTCCCAGCTACACTTCCCGTACAGCCCCCTGCTTAAGCTCTGGAAAAGCAGCAGATGACGGTCCAAAGCCTTAGGACACTAGTTCCTCAGGGGAGACCTGAGAGTCCTCCTGGCTCCCAGCTTTGGATTGGCTCAGCTCTGGCCATTGCAGCCACCTTGGAGAGTGAACCAGTGGATGAAGACCTTTCAGTCACTGCTTTCTATAAAACTGTACAATCTACCTTTCCAATAGAAATATTTTCTTTAAAAAAAAAAGAGGACCTGGGGTGACCTAGTGGCTACAGTCCTCTCCTTGCATGCACCAGGATCCCACATGGGCGCAGGTTCATACCCACTTCCCTTCTAGCTCCCTGCTTGTGACCTGGGAAAGCAGTAGAGGACAGCCCAAAACCTTGGGCCCCTGCAACCACATGGAAGATCCTTAAGAAGCTCCTGGCTCCTGACTTTGGATCAGCTTAGCTGCAGCTACTGTGGCCACTCAGGAAGTGAACTAGTGGATGGAAGATCTTTCTCTTTGTCTGTCCTTTCCATAAAATCTGACTTTTGAATGAAAATAAATAAATCTTTAGAAAAAAAAAAAGTAGCATACAAGCATCATGAGAGGTTCATTTCTAAACTGCTAATACATTTTTGCTTTGGAAAACATAGCTTAACTGATGAGTTACCAATACCAATGAATCTTTTTCTTTATTTCTATCATTTTTTTAATCCAAGATCTCTAAGTATTTAAATAATAAATACCATCATCATGTAAGAAGCAAGTTAACAAATAAAAAAAAAAGCAAACTTTCTAAAATCAGTAAAGTTGAAAGTTTAAATACTAATACATACACTAACAACACCTACTTTGATTTTTCACTGTTCTTCAAAACATTAATGCACTTTCCCAGAGTCAATAAAGAAGTATTGATGTGCCCAGTCTCCCTTAATCTTTCACCTTCATTCTGAGTCTTCATGCTGCGTTCTGAACCAGCAAGATCGCATAAAGACAATCTGAATTAAACAAAACACCAAATAGGTTATTTGAAAAGTTCTTCTAAACAATTCAAAATAATTAAGAACTTGATAAATTTTGAACTTACTCACTGACTCCAATTACACGAGGCATTTCAGAAACTTCAATGTGTAAGATTCTAATAGTGAATATGCTGTGACTAAAAGAAATATACAAAGATTAAATATTACAGATTTTTAATTTTAACATCCTAAATTAGAGATAAGCATCTAAACCAATCTCAATACCCTAGTATTAGCTTTAGTTCATCACAACATTTTTTCAAAAAGCTGCCAGATATTTCAACCTATATACTACCAAGAGTCCTACAATTTGTGTACTGCTAATTCTCCTAACACTTCTCTTCCTGACATTCCAACCACGAGCAATGGAATCACTTATAACAAAATCTCACTCCATCACAAAATCTACATTTGACCTTTATATTTAAATAGACTTTCTGAGTCATAAATTATCTGTAGCCCAACTGAAAACGGAGCCATCACTGTGTATTTTACTTTTTTCTCCCTTAGGAGAAAACCTGTTATATAAAAAACAAAACAAAAAACTTACTGCTTAAACTTAGTCCCTCTGTCACTCATCTCCCAGTGTTTCACTTCTTAGGAGCCAGTATGCTGGCACAGCAGACTTTGCAGCTGTCTACTGTCTGCTTTAAGCTCCAGCTGGCTCATTTCTGATCCAGCTTCACTCTAAAACAACCAGGAAGGCAGCATATGGCCTGGCTCCTTGAGACCCTGACACGCATATAGGAGACACAAACAGAGCTCTGGCCTACGGGCTGTAGGCTAGGCCAGAACTGACTGTTGCAACTGCTGGAGAGTGAACCCATGGATGCATGCTCTCTCAACCAGTGCGTGGGAAATAGCTTGCATGTTTTTCTTTTCACCTCTTTCCCCCTCTCTTTCTTTTCTATCTCTCCATCACTCTGCTATTCAAATTAATAGTTTTAAAAAATCCTCTTAAACTGCTTGGGATAGCAATATTCAGTATGCATATGGCATTTAAAAGGTAAATGGGGAAAATGCAGGGAAAAGCCACAATTATAGATAACTGAAAATAATCAGCTGAAATATCGACATAAATAAAGACTAAATATATCTGAGACTTTCTACAAATTAGCGAAGTTAATATTAGGGCCAGAAATAGCATTGATAATATTATATGTTATTGCTCTTTAGTTTACAAAATGTTTTTATGTGCTGGAATTAATTTAACTTACTACAAAACCAACTACTTCCTTTAATTTAAAACTGACTATATTTAAAATACACAGGATGCCATGGGTGCTTCAGGCTTATCCCACAGAGCCTGTACCTTACCTTCTACTGGAAGCATTATTCAGTTTTGTGAAGGCAACACTCTGGTGCTTTATTCCTAGTTTTAAAAGTTTGTATGCTTCTTTGGAATCAGATACTTGAATCCATTGTAGATCTTTAAACATAAAGAGGATATCAATCAATATACTAAAACAACAGAATCTGTTCTACAATGACAGCCTTTTCTCAGTGACACAGATCAGACTTTCTTCTACTAACACATCTGAGTTTGAATTAAGCTTATACTCACAATCTTATTATACTCCACAAGAAAATAGGTATAACAAGAATTATATGATGTTGGAGTATTCAGGTTCCACACACAAAGTAAATGACCTTCAATAGTCTGCCAGGCGATAGGGGGCTAATTTCCAGGATATACAAAGAACTTCAAAACAACCAAAAAACCAAAACAAACAAGCCACTCAAGAAATGGGCACGGGAAATGGGCAAACATTTCACAAAGAACAAGTCCAAATGGCAAACAAACATATGAAAAAATGTTCCAGCTCCCTAGCAATAAGGGAAATCCAAATTAAAACATCGATGAGGTACCACCTAACACCAGTAAGATTGGCCCACATAAACAAGAACACCAATGACGCTTGCTGGCGAGGATGCGGGGAAAAGGGAACCCTACTCCACTGCTGGTGGAGCTGCAAATTGGTACAGCCTTTATGGAAATCAGTCTGGAGAACACTCAAACAACTCAAAATCTGCATACCATATGACCCAGCAATAGCACTCCTAGGAATATATCCAAAACACCTGTTTTACGACAAACCAACATGCATCCCTATGTTCATTGCAGCACAATCAGTAATTGCAAAAACATGGAAGCAACCGAAATGCCCATCAGCAGAAGATTGGATAAGAAAGCTTTGGTTCATCTACTCCATGGAATACTACTCAGCTATTAAAAAAAACAAAAATGCAGTTCTTTGTGGCTAAATGGGCACAACTGGAAACTATAATGCTAAGGGAAATGAGCGAATCCCAAAAGGTTAGATACCACATGTTTGCCTTGATTTAACCTGTAATTTATTGTTTGGTTGTTTGTCATTTTTTGAACATGTCATTGATACTGTCTCAACCCAGATGTTTCGAAGAATGGAACTTGCATTATTTTTAACATATTGTTTACCCAATACTATGTCAATTAATTCCATAATGTTGTATAATGATACTGAGGCCTTGTTGGGGCTTTTAACTGACCGGATCTTTACTCTGTTAGACCTATCTTCAGACCATAGAAGGTCTCCCCAGGAGGCCACTGAACTTATCTGGACAATAAGACGCTGAACTTTATGCTAGGCATGTGTTTGCAAGCAATGAATCTCAACTGAACTTGAACTATGGTTATGCAACAAGGTGGAGGAATCCACCATGGGGGGAGGGGTATGGGAGGGGTGGGGGGAATCCCCAGCGCCTATAAAACTGTACTACATAATACAATGTAAGCAACAATAAAAAAAAAAAAATAGTCTGCCAGGAATGAAAACTGGAAAAATTCCTTAAAATTAAACACTCAGGGGAAAAAAAAAAAGACAAAATATACAGTACAATTAAGCTCATAAAATTAGCCACAGAGTCATCATTGAGATGTAGCAAGTTAAACCACCACTTGCAACACCGACAAAGCTTATCAGACTCAGTTCTAACCCCAGGTGCTCTGCTTCCAACACAGCCTGCTGCTAACACACACGGCAAGAAAGCAGAGGATGGCCTACATGCTTGAACCCCTGCTGGCCACACAGAAACTTGGTGTTCTAAGTTCCTGGCTTCAGCTGGACCAGCCCCAGCCACTGTGGTCATCTGAAGAGTTCACTAGCAAGTTAAAAGCATGTTTTTTCTTATTTGACATTCTGTCAATATGTACATAAACAAATATTAGAAACAAAGAAAAAAAGAAAACAGAATGGTTTCCAAAGTATTGAAAAATCCCATTATGGGAGAACAGTAACACTTCATAGCTCAAAAACTTGGACAATAACCAAGTAGCATAATAAAGTGACTTAGTGACTTTAATGATACAAAGCATTTCCATGACTAAGAATCCAAACAATGATATTCAAGTAAACACAATAGCAAACTAGGTCCTTTTATATTTGCTTGCTAAACACATCAAACCACTTTCCACAACATACTTCTCTTATTCTTTTGATATTAAAAAGGAATATGCAAATTTTCATATCCCTGCTGGCTTTCCTACAGATGTCCCAAACTCTACAAGGCAATTCATTAGTTTACCTTTTATGAAAGAATAGCCCTTTACATCTTGGGAGAGGCACAGCATCTTTCTCTTTTGGAACTTCGATGATACAGGAGCAAACAAATCATAAATACATTCATTGTAAATCTCAAAGAAAGAAACCCATACAGAAAATTTTATATTATCCGTATTCAAGCTAGATGGTTCACAATCTTTCAGGGATTCTTCGAGCTCTGGAATATTCATAGAGTTGGTGAAGCTTCCTACCAAAAATAGAAAAAAAAAAGGATAATAAAAAATTCAGTTAACTAAAAATGAGAGAAACGTTCAATTGAAGACAAATAGACAAATCAAATATATTTAATCCTATTATATCTATATCAAGCAATTTTAGAAATAAAACAAGATGTAAATCACACATGGATTAAGCAAAGTTTGCCTTTTTGTCCTTTTATTTAGAAACATGCTAATAAACCAAAAGAATGAACAGGTATCCCTCTTGAATTCAATTATTAAAATTACAAGCAGTAGGGACGGGCTCAGTGGTATAGCAAGCTAAGACTCCATCTGTGGCACTGGCATCCCTTACAGGTGCAAATTCATGTCAAACCTGCTCCACATCCAACCTAGCTTCTACCTTACTGCCTGGGAGAGCAACCAATATGGCCCAAGTCCTTGGGCCCCTGTGCCCAAATGCAGACTGGGAAGCAGTTCCTGGTTCTCAACTTTGAACCAGCCCAGCCAGGGCCATGGCAGCCATCTGGGGAGTGATTCAAAGGATGACACATCTGCCTCTCTCTCGGTCTCTCCTTCTCTCTATAGCTCTGACTGTAACTCTCTTCTGTCTGTAACAAATATTTTTAAAATAAATAAGTTATGAGCATTAAATGGATATTTGTGCAATTTAATACAAACAAGACTGATATTTCTAGATATTATTATGAAGTCAAAGAAATTTGTGCAGATAATGCTATAATGCACTACTTCTCTTTAAAGAAAAAAAAACCAACAGAATAGGATTCTGAATGTTTTTCCAATAAAGAAATTTTAGATACTTGAGAAGATATTGGACCATAACTGTGTAACTTACACAATGCACACATATATTAAAATATCACCTAACACCCAACACACACATATAATTTTTGTTAAAAAAAACTAATATTAAAAAAAGAAATCACTCCTAGTAGCCTTTAAAATTAAAATTTAAAACTAAATTTTAAAATTAAAAACTAAGTTTTAAAATTAAAAGCTGCTATATAAATAGTAAAAAATTACAATTTTTTAATTAAAAATTTTAAAATAAAAAGCTGGAGAAGGCGCTCAGCTTAGCAATTCTGCTGGTTGAAACATTGGTGTCCCATATTAAAGTGAACTGGATTCAACTCCTAATTCCAAATTTTTGCTGATACAGAGCCTGGAAAGCAGTATTGGACCAAGTGGTAAGTCTCGGCCACCCATCTTTGAAATCTGGATTGAGTTCCTAACCCATGGCTTGGCACAGTCCCAAGCTACTGCAAGCATCTAGAGACTAAAAAAGATGTCTTCCTCTCTGTATCTCCTTTTCTACACATTTGCCTTTACAATAAAAATAAATAAATCAAAAAATAAACCAAACCAAAAAAAAAAAAAAAAAGATGGAAGAAAACCCACTCTGTCAACCTCTTAGAAAATAAATTCACACTAAAAACTTTTGAAATGTATTTCATTTGATCAACAAATGAAAACCAGGAAAGACCAGAAACCTTACCATGAAGGGTATCATCATTGTCACTAAGTGTAACAACCTAAAAAAGAAAGTTTTTAGAGGTTAAAAATCACGTTTAGATATGAATTACCTACTCACATTCATCATCAACCAAATTTCAATTCAAGATCCCCTAAACACCTGACCTTCATTCATTAAACTGTTTTTAGTTTAATACAATCTTGTGGAAGGAAATCCAGAAAAAAACTAACCCGAGTTAATTTAATAGGCAATCGTAGCCCGTCAGAAGCAATTATCACAGTATCTCACCGTCTCCCCCATCTGTTCTTTCCCTACACTTATGATAAGGCTTTTCTCACTAAAATTAAAAATTATAAATATTTGAGGTCTATGGAACATTATTCCATTATTAAACATTTGCATTATTTGCAAATCTTGCCAGAAATAAACACTAGAATAAGCGTTTTATATATTTCCTACTTCATTCTAATTATTCCCTTGGTTTACACAACTAAAATTGAACTGGCAGATGAAAAGATCAAAAATCTAAAGCTCTCACAATTTACCAAAGTATTGCCAAAATGTTTTCTAGAAATACTTTATAATCAATATATAAAAGTGATTGTCATTTTGTAATATTATTGTATTTCCATAGATGACACATAACTGGACAATGTGTCAGAAAATTTTTCTTCATCATTAATCATGCTCATTTCCTCTGAATTACCTATGCAATTATCCATTAACTTTTACAATTTTAAAAATACTAGTTTTAACTTTCACAGATTGTAGTCATGGACTCTGAAATGTGAATTTCACTGAAAAGCACATTTTTCCTATTTTGTTAGTTTTTAAAACTAAAGATTTGTTTTTATTTACTTGAAAGGCTGAGTTCCAATAAGAGAAGCAAAATGAGAGAGAGATCTCCCATTCATTGGTTCATTCCCTAAATAGCCACAACAGCCGGGCCAGTCATAAGCCAGGAGTCTCTTCCAGATCTCTCAAATGGATGAAGACATGCAAGCACTTGGGCCTCTTTCACTGCCTTCCCAGGCGCTTCCCAGAGAGCTAGAAGGGAAGTGCAGCAGCCAAGACTTGAACAGGTGCCAAAGTAGGATGCTGGTGTTGTGCCAGCTTTATAACACTATATTATATTATTAAAACTCTGATTTCCAAACATCATTTTTTCAAAGATTTATTTATTTTTATTGGAATGTCAGATGTACAGAAACGAGGAGAGACAGAGAGGAAGATCTTCCATCAGCTGACATGGCTACAACAGCTGGGGCTGAGCTGGTCCAAGCCAGAAGCTTATTCCAGGTCTCCCATGTGGATGCAGAGGCCCAAGACTTTGGACTGTCCTCCACCGTTTACCCAGGCCACAGGCAAGCAGCTGGATGGCAAGCGGGGCTGCTGGAATAAAAACTGGTGCCCGTATGGAATCTCAGCAAATAGAAGGCAAGGACTTTAGCCACTATACTATCATACCGGGCCCTCCAAACATCTTTATACACATTCCCACTAATATTTTTAAAATCCACCCATAGCAGATTAGTGCGTTAATGGGCTCCCACCAGTGGGTTTGTTATAAATGTCCATGACCTTGGAACTCTAGAGAACACCGACCAGGAAGAAGTGCCCTCACATAATTCAGGCTAGCAACCATGGACTTCCTACAATCCAGAGTACAAGCTAAAAATAATCCTTATATAATCCCCATACACCTTATAAATTAGTGAATCTGAAGTATTCACGGAACAACAACAACAAAAGAAAAAACACTAGAAATGGACTGAGGGTCAGTGCAATTGTCCAGGTTTTCATCTGGACAATGGTTCATTCCCTAGCTGCTCCAGCTCCCATCCAGCTCCCTGCCTGCGGCCTGAGAAAAGTAGGCAAGGACAGCTCAAAGCCTTGGGACCCAGCACCCATGTAGAAGACGCAGAAGAAGCTCCTGGTTCCAGGCTTTGGACTTGCTCAGCTCTGGCCCTTGTGGCCACTTGGTGAATGAACAAGCAGAGGGAAGACCTTTTTCTCTGTCTTTCCTTCTCTCCTGAAAATCCGTCTTTCCAATAAAAGTAAATAAATCTTTAAAAAAAAAAAAAAAAAAACTAAGGCAGTCTCCAAAAAGGCACTATCGTTTAGCCTTAACAAAAAACACTTCCTGAAGAATCAAGATGGCAGAATAGGGTAAGGACACGTTTAAACAGATGGGGAGAAACATTTAATCTGGATGAAGCAGAGAGGACATATTTCAGGAAATAGGAAAAGGCAGAACAACAGTAGAGGGGTACCTGGAAGCTGACAGACACAGGAAAGCAGCAGGCACAGCAGTGTGGTGTTGCAGTGACCGATATCCAGGACGGCATTCAGCTAACGGCGATCTGAACTCCACCAGCAGCCGGAACTTCACCAGCAACCAGGTGGGAAGGGACTTTCACTGGAAGCTTGGGAGGTGAATCCAGACAAAGAACTGTCCGTCCTGCTGGTCCGTTTGATTTGACCAGGAGCAGAGACAGAGCAGCAAATTTCAAACGGGCAGTGCGAGAACAGAGTGAATTTCATAGCCCAGTCAGCCCCTAGAGCTGAATTGGGTGCCATTTTGTGTAAGGAGGAAAAGAGCAAGGGAAAGGCAAGGGAAAGGACAGAGCATGTGCTAGCTGGGGGTGAGCTCATTTCTGACTTGGTGAACTGCAATGACGCAGCATTCTACGGATTCCATCTGGGGCAGGTCTGGGTAGCCCTAAGACCTGACGGCAAGCTGATCAAGAACTGTAGTGGTGGTACGTTCAGGCGCCATTTTGCACACTGTGGCAATAGCTTTGGGACTGCAAGGAACAGGAAACTGCGCATGTGCTGAACTCACGAGAACTCACTGAGGTCACACAGGAAAATAATAGACTGTGGCATGGTATGTATCAAAATAGGTCTGTGTGGCACCCAGACCTAACGTCCAACATGTTCCGACAAGATCAGCGCCACCAACAACCTAACTAGGATAGGACACCTGGTGTCTCTCTAATCCTGGGACCTGCTCGAACCGGAAGTGGGAGAAAGGTTGCAGAGACAATGGTGTAGCCTCAGCACGGTATCACAGGAGGTAGAGAGTGGTGAGCCAAGAGCTGGGGCTGTGGAAAGCATGGTGGAAATCTGACATAAGAACCCAGACCTGGGGGCCCGGCGCAGTGGCGCAAGTGGTTAAGGTCCTCGCCTTGCACGCCCGGGATCCCAGATGGGCACCGGTTCTAATCCCAGCACCCCGCTTCCCTTCCAGCTCCCTGCCTGTGGCCCGGGAAAGCAGTCGAGGGCGGCCCAAAGCTTTGGGACCCTGCACCCGCGTGGGAGACCCGGAAGAGGCTCCTGGCTTTGGATCGGCATAACATTGGCTGTTGCGCTCACTTGGGGAGTGAATCATCGGATGGAAGATCTTCCTCTCTTGTCTCTCCTCCTCTCTGTATATTGACTTTGTAATAAAAATACATAAATCTTAAAAAAAATACACTACATGTATTACAAAGATATGAAACTATATGGAATATATATATATATACACACACATACACACACAAAAAAAACTGTATACACAAACATATCAAAAAATGTTATTTGGGTTTTACATAGAGAAAAATTTCAGAAATGATACTTTACAATCTGCTAACGTCATCTTCTCAGCAAGCATTTAAAATTGCCATGTTTAAATTTTGTATACCCAAAATTTTTTTAAATAAAAATCAGAATTTTTATAAATTAGTATTTTAAACATACAAACAAATAAGATTTCAGAACCCCTTGTCTTCATAAGGTTTAAAGACTGCTGTTACTTGTATAATGTAAGCACTAGTTTTCTAAGAAACTTCAAACGTTTTCTCAAATGGAAAAAACACAAAAATCTTCTAATATAGCTGAAACGACCTAAATTTATAAAAGATCAATATGTACATTACATTTATATTACTAATTCCATTACATACTGAAATACCTCCATACCTCTTTAATTTGCCGAAGCAATGTACTTTTGTTTATAACTTCTTCTTTCTCTTGGGCGGGTGATAACCGTAAATATTCTCTTGATCTATTCGGTTTAATGTTCATCTTTGTATACAGTTTTTCCTGAAGATTGGCAAACAACACATTCAGAGTTCGTGGAAGAATTCCAATGTTTTCCTCTGTACCTGCAATAATAATTTTTGTGTAATAGTCTCTCAGAGGACTGGTAGGAAAAAGGTAACACAGAATGTCAAGATTTTTATGCTACCGTTAATAAAGAGAATAGCTAAAACAAGAAACATGATGAATGATCACTTTTCTATCACTTTGGTCTTCACCATAAAACCTAAAGTTCTATATTCAGATTTGGCCATAACATTAATATTTGGAATCACTAATCATAAAGCATAAAAGTAATATAAATATGTTTCCCTGGTCAGCCATGCATAATTGCTTGAATTCCATCTATGTTTTTTCTGGACTTTTATTCATCATCTTACTCTATACCATACTGAGAATATAGTTTTTTTATCTAATAAAATAAATTTGAATCAAAATATATCACAGATATATATTCAATATGCTAGATGAGTACTAAATGATAGAAATATAATTATATTAAAGTTTTATGAGAACACTGAGCTAATATTATCTCACTTCTTTCCAACCAAAATAAAACAATATTTACCTCGAAATGTGTATGTTTTTCCAGAATTGGTAAAGCCATAGGTGAAAATTAGACGACTTTGTCCTTTCAATAGGTCTCTTACTGGTTGCATAATACAACCATGAAAGAATTCCTTCTGTGTAGTTTCTGGGCCAAAAACCTAAGAAAGAATTTGTAAGACAGGTCATTTTACAAAATCCAAATTGGTGTAGGGCTGGCACAACGCCTAAACTAGAGGTCTTCCACCTCTAAGCGTGGCATCCCATATGGGCACCAGTTCTTATCCCGGCTGCCCCACTTCCCATCCAGCTCCTTGATTCTGTCCTGGAATAGTGGAGGATAGCTCAAGTGTTTGGAACACTGCACCTGTATGTGAAATCTGGAAGCTTCTGATTACTGGCTTTAGACCGGTTCAAGCTCTGGCTGTGGCAGCCATTTGGGTAGTGAACCAGAAGACTTTTCTCTGTCTCTGCTTCACTCTGTAAAATTTGCCTTTACAATAAAAATAAGTAAATGCATTTTTTAAATCAAGTTGATTTTTAAATCAAGTTCATTGTAAGATCTAGTAAGACCTACTCTGTTGCTCATCTTTCAAAAATTTGTTTTTATCAGATTCATTCTTAAAACAGGTGCCACATATCTACTCTCAAACATCAGAATATGTTCAAGATAAAAATATGACCCAAACAGCAAAGCAAGTTTTCATCTTAATCTTGAAAAGGACATTTAGCTGAGGGGTAGTTAAAGTGGTACCATTCTGGCACAGCAAATTAATATACCATCTGTAATACCAGCAATCCCCATCAGGCACTTCAAGTCCCAGCTGCTCTGCTTCCTGTCCCACTCGTTATTATTGTACCTGAAAAAAGCGTCGGAAGATGACCCAAGTGCTGGGGCCTCTGCCAACCATGTGAGAAAACCAGATTGATTTTTCTGGCTCCTAGTTCCAGGTTGGTTCAGGCTATTAAAATCATTTTGAAAATGTGCCAACAGAACAAAGGTCATCTCTCTCTTTTTCGTGTTTCTAAAACTGATTTTCATGTGAATAAATCTCTTTTTAAAAATGGAGTTTTAAGAGCAGTAAAATGATTTGTTCCCTTTCGATTCTATTACCTCAGACCAGAAATTTCAGACCTACTTTTTACGAAAAAATACCAGTAACTAAGATCTAAGCTGCATAAACAGGATTCATTATATATATTTATATAGGAATTCGACATAAGCAAAGTCTCTCACCACCCTTTTTGTTTTGAATATTGAACCAAAGTTGAATTACAAGAAACAATGAAGAGTACTCCTGACAGACCAGGCAATCATCATAAGAAAGAGCCTGGTCTACAGTCTACATCCAACTTGGAGTTCGAATTTGGTTATGGGTCTTCTCCCTCATCTCTGTCTAGGAGCCTCATTGGGTTTTCCTGAGTGTAGAATTCCTAAAACTCTTCCCAGAACTTCATAATAGCCCTTCTCGTACAAGGTAGACACAAATCTCTTTCCTTTTAAAATAATAAAGCAAAAGTTGAGTTTCACAGAGGCACTTACCTTGGAAAAACTGAATTTTTGTGCCATCAGCCCAGAGCTTTTTTCACTTAAGTGACCTAGGATGCTTTGAGGCTCTTTCAAGAGAACACTGTGTGAATCCAGAATTTGCACACAGCCCTAGAACACATCACAACCATAAATAAGAACAATGGCATTTTACATGTTTAAAAAGTAAATTAAAGTTCAATTAAATGTAATACAAACATTCCAGCTGTAAACAAATTCCTAGGTTGTCTTATACCTAGGCAAGTGTTACAAATCTAGGAGAACAGTCAATAGCTGGTTGGCATTCTGGGACTGGTCAATGCCAAGATTCTGTCAATGACACCACTGTGCTAGCATAGTTGCATATTCTGTTTCTTTTTTGTTTGTTTTATTGTTTTGTTTTGTTTTTAAGAAACATGGGGGATACAGGGCCCCTAGTCACAGCGCCATGCAGCAGGGGTGATAGATTTTCTAGGAAAAAATATCTGGTGATTTATTTGATTGGGAACAGCTGAGGGTATGTTCAACAGGGAAGCAATGACTTCTAGGGACTTCCACCGACTAGGCCACTGCACTTGCAGGTAGGTGAGGGAACCGACACAGAGTGATTCAGAGTGGAAAAACTGGAGGTATGTTGGGGCCAGACAAGACAACCGCCCAAATGGGATACCTGGGCCAGACTAAATAGCATCACTCGCCACCCACAGCAGCAAATGAAAGCTGGGGCTAGGCAGCATGCCTGGCAGGAATAGGCCACCCACCTATGAGTGTCAGGGCAGGGGGTGGGCCATGTCAGACTGAGCTGCAGCATCCATCAGAATGTGAGAGAAGCAGATCTGGGAGCAAATTCTGTAGGTTTGTGGGCTCACCTCTGCAACTGCAGCATCTGCTGGTTTGTGTGACAGCTGGGGGTGGTGACAGGGCAGGCGAGGCTTAAGGGTAGAACTCAAGGGGACACCTGTGGGAGCTGGAGCTGGCAGGAGGCTAAGCTTGGCCAGGGCATAATACCTGCCAGTACATACAAAAGCCAGGTCTGATGGAAACCATGCCAAACAGAACCAAGGCACTCACCAACACACATGAGATGTGGGGATAGGAATAGGTCTCGTAGAGGACTTGGGGTACTCCCTTGTTAGCACATAGCTCCCACTAGGGAGCACTGGGGATAGGCTAGCAAGGTAAGGCAGTACTTCATGTACTCTAGCAGGTGCCATGACCTAGTCAGGTAACCTCCAATAACTCTCACCAGGCCTGCCCCCAGCCCTGGTTTTTGCCTCTGTTGGATTGTGCTGCAGCCTAGCTTGGCATGCTCCATATCTCATCCAGCTCTTAGGCAAACCAGTGGGCACTGTGGATTATCTCAGCCTGATGGGTTCCCCAGACCCGTCTTACGCATATGCCAAAGGGTACTACAGCCTTGTCCAGCATGGCGTACCCCCAGCTCTGGCTCTCATGCTCACCAACAGGACTGGGCGAGATCTGGGGCAGACTAGGCTGGGTCAGATCAGAGAATCAGCTGACATGCACAAGAGATAGGATGGGATGTGGGCTGCAACACTGGCCAGTGAAAGCTCAGAATAAGCCACATCAAGCTGAGTCAAAGCACTCACTAGCACACATAACATCTCGGATTGAGAGCAGCTTAGTGGGGGAACTGCAGAGACTACCTTGTTAAACTTCAAGTCCTGTTGGCCTGGTGAGGGTTATTGGAGATTACCTGACTAGGTCATGGCACCTGCTGGAGTACATGAAGATCAGACTTGTGGCATCCACCCATATGTGCACTGGCTGCTGCAGGTGATACACCACACCTTATCCTGCACTGGGTGATACACACAAGAGTCAAGTCTGAGGTCATCCCAAGCAACATTTCTTGAGGCACACTCCAACTAGATTGCTGGACTCAAAACCAACCACAGGGAGAATCACAAGTAATACAGTCTGATCTTGGAGTGCACATATTACTACTGGGCCTCCTCAGCTACTGATGTCTATGCAATGGACAGCATGACCAGATGCACATATGGGGACATGACAGCCAGCTCATCTAGCCAGCAGAAGACAGTGTTTCATCAGAGAATGGATGGAAAGCAGAACAGGTTGGACAGCCTTCACAGTAAAGCTTTGAGCCAACCAATAGACCCTGAATTTTCCTCAAATGCTGGGGTCCATGCAGTGTGTGTAGATGACATGAAGGTGTAAGGAGAATAGCTCCCCTGTTGGCAAGGCTTCCAGCTGTATGGCAAGGCCTGGCGGATGTTTCTCTAACCACCTCGACACAGTTTTATCCCCTTTGCATGGACATTCAACCACCCTGCTAAGAATTCTGTAATCTACTAAGGCAGTGTTGTTCGCCCTTGTGAGATGGCTTTTGCAGCCAATGTGAGCTTTGGGAGTTAATGTTGCTGATAATGTCTTGGCGAGTGGGCCTTTAACAATTTGCACACAGGAGTACAATTAAGTCCATGCTATTTCTGGACACCTTATTTTGTCCCAAAATCTGGCCCAGACATGTATCACGCTTTCTGAGAAACGGCTTGGTAAGAATCTCAAAAATTAAAGAAAGCGATGGGAGCATGAGTTGAAACTACTATGACAATAAACATAGTTACTGTGACCTCAAAGGCTAGCCTGTCCTTGCAAATCTTTGGATCACAGAAAATGTATCTGTTTCAGTCACTTTTATAATTTTTTGGCTAGAGGAATTCTAGGGTATTTCCATTAATATTACAGATATGATTTTAATCATTGTTTGACTGTTTATAGGGTTATAGAGTCTATAGTTGTAGAGAGATTTAATGTTTGAAACTTTTGTCTTGGCACTGTTATGGTTTTTTCCCTTTTGATGTATTTCTCCCATTAAATGATAGACAAGTTGTAGCAATAGCAATGTAGTAGGAGTGTATTACTGATTAAGATCTAATTGCATGTGCCCTGGCCTTGCAGTCCTGCCTGCTGCCCAGTGGCTACTACTAAAGAATTAATAATGGTTTCCTTTGAAGAAAAATGATTATAGTACCTTATAGAATTATCTTTAAGAGCACCTGGTCTACCATGAAGAAAAAATTAATTAGTTGAACATCTGTGTATGCCAGCTTACTCATGAGGTTAAAAATAGAACAATCAAACGTTTGGGCAGAAGTTTGTGATGTGTCTGATAGAATCAAAACGAGCTTCTTGAGCTGTCAGTAGAGGACATCAAGTGACTGTCCTGTCTCTTTTCCTCGCTGTATCCACACACCGTCTTGAGGTCCAGACTCAGCAAGAGCTGGCCTCTGGCACTCAATCCTCATGCAGCAAAGCCGAAATGTTCCAGAATTATCAAAGGCACTCAAGTGGGCCCAGCATGATGTCTCAGTGGCTAAATCCTCACCTCACATTCATTGGGATTCCATATGAGTGCCAGTTCTCGCCCCAGCTGTTCTACTTCCCTCCCAACTCCCTGCTTGTGGCCTGGGAAAGCAAAAAAGGATGGCCCAAGTTCTTAGGACCCTGCACCATGTGGAAGACCCAGAAGAAACTCCTGGCTTCAGATCAGCTCAGCTCCAGCCATGGTGGCCATTTAGGAAGTGAGCCAGTAAAAGGAAGATCTTTCTATCTGTTTCTCCTTCTCTCTGTAAATCTGACTTTCCAATAAAATTTTAAAAATGTAGTTTGACCAAAAAAAGAGCAGTGTCTCCCCTTTTCCCTAGCGGAAAAAAAAAAAAAATGTAATACAAACCTCTGATTCATGTTCTTTCTCTGACTGTGTGAATGGTCTTATTCGAAGACAAACCTGGAGATAATCTTTTGATTCCAAGTTGTTTACCTTGAAAAAAAAAAAGAACAATATTTTGTGTTTTATTTATTTAAAAAGCAGAGTGACAGAAAGAGAATGAGAGAATTTTGCATTTGCTGGTTCACAGCCAAAACAACCTCACAACAGTCAGGGCAGAATTAGGCCAAAGTCAGGAAACAGAAACTCTATCTGGATCTCAGATATGGGTGGCAAAGAACCAAGTATGTAAGCCACTTCTGCCGCACATTAGCAGGGAGCTGGAATCAGCCATGGAGCAAGGACTCAATCCTGTGTACTCCAATGCAGAATACAGGCATCACAAACGTATTTTAAACCAAAAATGTAGTCGACACTGTTAACAAAGTCATCCAAACAACTTAATGAAGGGCTGGCATTTTGGCATAGTGGGTGAAGCTATGGTCTGCAATGCCAACATCCCACACGGACAGCGATTCAAGTCCCATCTGCTCTATTTCCAATCCAGCTCCCTGCTAAAGCAGCAGAGGATGGCAGAGGTAACTGGGCTCCTACACACACACACACGGGAACCCAGATGAAACTTCAGACTCCTGGCTCCTGCCTGACCCAATACTGGGGAATAGGTTAGAAAATTGAAGACCTTTCTCTCTCTGTCTCTCTTTCTTCCTCTGTAACTCTACCTTTCAAATAAATAAGCTTTACAAACAAACAACTTAATGAGGAAATGAAAGCTTTTACAGTATATGTAAGTGATACCAAAACAGATGAGTGTTCAAAACCTGAAAAAAAAAAACCGAAAAAAGAATAGCAACCTAGATCCCTGGGCTCATCTATCAACTCACATAAACATTCTATGATGACTCCCAGATAGAACCATGGGGGGAAAAAAAACAAAATCTCTGCCTAATTTTTGCTCAAAGTATTTAAGACAAAGTGAATGCCTAGGTCCACAGAGAGGCCTGCCAAAGAATGCTGAAAGCAACGTTATTTGTAATGGTCCAAAACCAAAACCACCTAAGTGTCAATGAATCCTAAATGCAAACGTGGCACTTACGCACAAGAACTATTACAAAGAAAGACAAAAGCAACAAACTACTAACCTACCATGTATGATGACCCAAAAACAGATCATTAATATTTTAGGCTCTATAGACCCGATAGCCTCTGCCACAACTATTGAACAATACAGTGCAAAATACAGAAAATATGTACACCAGTGAGTTTAGCTTTGTAGGAGGACATTGTGACCCTAGAGGGTCAGCAAGCACAGGATTACAGCTGATTGGATAATATTTGCATGAGAACAACTGATTGGCTACCTTTTGTATACCTGATTGGATATCATTTGTATAAGAACAGTTGAATGGGCAGTATGTGTGTGAGAACACTTGGTGCAATATACAAGACAAAAGGAGTTCCAAACAAAAACATAAAACTGTTACTGGATTTTGTTGATGAGCTCAATACTTCCTCCCTTAGCCCATATGACTCTCAGTGTATAAAGTCTGATGCCACTAATAAACTTCGGGTTTGAGCATCTGTCAGGGTCCATGCGTGTTATTATCGGCTCCGTGCACCAAGTCCATCGCTGCGAGACGACGACATAGCATGACACAACAGAACTTTAATTATAGGCAGGTAAGTGTCATATAATTTTCAAATCATTAAACATTCTTTTATCCACAACTATTTAAAAATGTAAAAACCATTCCTAGCTTGTGAACGAATTCAAAAAATAAGCACTAAAAAGAGAGGTAATTATTTGCAAATCATTCTGTTAAATGAATGAAGGCAGACACAAGCAAGTATGTAATAAATAGTTTCAATTATATACTAAAAGCACATGTTACAGAGTTCCTTTCCTCTGCTTTATATTCATTTATGGCAAATAAGTTAAAGTGTCAAAATACTTAAACCTGAAACATCACAAATACTAAATAAGTATTTTTCTTTTTTTAAAGATTTATTTTATATTTATTGGAAAGTCAGATAAACAGAGCGACAGCAAAGGCCAGAGCTGAGCAAATCCGAAGCCAGGAGTCAGGAGCCTCTTCCAGGTCTCCAACACAGGTGCAGGGTCCCAAGGCTGTAGGCTGTACTCAACTGCTTTCCCAGGCCACAAGGAGGGAGCTGGATGGGAAGTGGGTCAGCTGGGACACGATCTGGTGTCCACATGAGATCCTGGTATGTGCAAGGCAAGGACTTTAACCGCTAGGCTACTGTGCTGGGCCCAGTATTATTCTTTTATCTGTGTGTCTTAACTTCCATTGTGCTACTCTATAAAATGGGTCAGTTCAAGGGGCTAGCAAAGTAGTATAGCAGGCTAATTCAACATCCCATATGGGCACAGGTTCGAGTTCTGACTGCTCCACTTCCAATCCAGCTCCCTGCTAATGGCCTGGGGAAGCAGCAGAGGTGGACCTTAAGCGTTGAGTTTCTGCATCCACATACGAGAACCGGAAGGAGCTCCTGGCTCCCAGCTTCAGATCAGCTCAGCTTTGGCAACTGAAGCCATCTGGAGAATGAACCAGCAGATTAAAAATCTCTCTCTCCCTCTCTCTTTGTAACTCTTGAATTTCAAGGAGAAATAAATAATAAATGTTAAAAAAGAGTAAGTTCATATTTAAGAAATCAAAATTAATAACTTAAAATGTAATAAATACAATATAAAGTCATTTAAAGTAGATATTCAAGAATGTCCATAAGCTAGGTAAGACAGCAGAAGGACTCGACCTCTTAGTTTAAATACTACTGAGTTACATAATTTGTTAAAATCTCTATTGTTGTGAAAATTAAGGGACATAACTCCTGGGGGCAGGGCAGAATACAGAAGCACCTGTGTAGAAGACAGATTTTTTGAAAAAACTATGCATAAATTTCAAAATGCTATTGAACTAAAATGAACCTCATCTTTAATTCCATTTTCCTACGAACTTTGACATCCCCCATAGTTCACATTTTGAAGGGAATCACAGCAGTGCTTGCCATGCCGGTAATCACGAATGGCTAAGCAGGTACAGTTCCACTTTATATCATATTTCCCTCTTGGTTTGGTCATATATGTGATAACGGCATCTTTCAGTGACTGCCCATGATAAACAAGCTTAGCACTATTTCAAAACAGTGAAAATCAGCAAATGAGGGTGGTTGAAGTCTAGTTGGATTCCAAGGTTTAAGAAGTTGTAGAATGCCCAATAAGCACCTATCTCATCAATAACATTGCTAGAGGGTCATGAAAGGGTAAAATATTCAAAAATTTTCTTTTCATATTATTTGCCTAAACTGGCTACTAGGTTAAGGCAAAGATACTTACTAAGTTGTTAAGACTTGAAAAGGGATGCCTAATAATTTTTGCAGCTCACAGCTTCCATAAGAAAGTTACTGATACATCACTGCCCCAGAGAGTTTGGGTATCTCTTCTAGGTACAGTAAAAAATGTACCTACACATACACATTTCCATTCAATCAAATAATCTTCACAATACTTTTCTTACACTTACCTCAGTCTTTGAAGCAACTAAGGAAAACTCATGAGAGAGATCAAGCTTGATACCATCAAAATTTATTTCTGAAGGTCTTGCAATTGAGTCAGCACTAAAAACATAAGATGGCCTAGGCACTCCATCTTGATTCAAATTAGACTCCATTCTGTAAGAATAACCATATTTTTTAAGACAACTTTAATAAATAACAATGTAAGCCACTCTAACTTTAAAAAGCCTAAGTGTTCAGCCTACTACTTCACTCCATTTCAAACAACCAGATTTCAGGCAGGGAGAATCTTAGTCTACTTTATTGACATTACAATGACCTATGGAAAAGAGAAAAAAAAAAAAATTCACACTACATTTATGGATTCTGAGTCTAATAATACTAGACACGGCCTAATACTTTTTATCAGACTCAAACGTTGAACAGATTCATCCAACAAGATTTGGTCAGTAAAGGTCATCTGTGAAGTAAGGCAGCATAAAATAATCCCATCTTCCCTGACATCTTCTCAGAGAGTAAGTAGTAGGAAGATGAAAGAATAAAGTTAAACTCTGTGTCTTTTAAGATTCATTTATTTTTATTGGAAAGTCAGATATAGAGAGGAAGAGAGACAGAGAGGAAGCTCTTCTTCCCATTGATTCACTCCCCAAGTGAGCGCAACAGCTGGTGCTGCACGGATCTAATGCCAAGAGCCAGGAACTTCCTCCAGATCTCCCACATGAGTGCAGGGTCCCAAGGCTTTGGGTCGTCCTTGACTGCTTTCCCAGGCCACAAGCAGGGAGCTGGATGGGAAGTGGCGCTGCCAGGATTAGAATCCGGTGCCCATATGGGATCCCAGCATGTTCAAGGCGAGGACTTGAACTGCTAGGCTACCACACAGGGCCCTCTGTGTCGTTTTAATTACTTAGCATCTTGCAAACACTGATAAGGTCTAGACTTTGTCTTTGCATTGGAACTCAGTTACCTAGAATATTACTTTCAATTTAAAAAGTAAAATATGAAATAATGCCTCAGTGAACTACTATAAGTGAATGAAACATCAGATTAAATGTAAAGGGAAGCTGAAGGGTGATCTTACTAAGATATATTAATACTCAAAAAATTCACAGAGACTCTACCAGGTGCCAAACACCAAGGAGAAGGCGAGCACTCAGTGCGCTGCCCTTTAACAAGACGATAAGACATCCAGAACAGCAGCTCTCAAACTGGGATTCCTGGCTTCAGGAACTAGTTCAAAAGTCTGTTAGGTAGACAAAGCTTGGTGATGTCAGCACAGACAGTCCAAGAAACTGTGGCATTGAGTGTGCTGAACCCAGACAAATAACAGTATACACACAGTCAAATTTTAAGAGAAAAGTTCTTTCTTTAGGCTTCAAACACTGTTACATGGATCAATCGGCTAATCTACCATCAAGTTCCAAGATTCCATATTGGTACTGGTTCATGTCCCAGCTGCTCCAACTCCCACCCAGCTCCCTCTTTGTGACCTGAGAGCGCAGTGGAGGATAGCCCAAAGTTTTGAGACCCTGCACTCACGTGGGAGACCCAGAAGAGGCTCCTGGCTTCAGATCAGCTCAGCTCTAGCTGTTGAGGCCAATTGGAGTGTGAACCAGTGGATGGACGATCTTTCTGTCTCTCCGCCTTTTCAATAAAAATACATAAATCTTTAAAAAGGAAAAAAAAAAAAAGAAAGAAAACACCAGTTACAGATGTATAACCTATAGCAAAACTAAAAATCTGTTGCAAAGTTATTGGGCAGAGGGGGCAGAAACTGCATTGCAGCACCAAATTTAAATATACATCCATCCATTTGCTTTAAATACAGCCCAGAGACGCATTAGCCATTTAGAGTCAACCTGACATGCACATCCCATGAAACTACATTCAACACCTGCTAAGCACAAAGAACACCTGGGACAAGCAGGACCTCAGGCTACTGCAGGCTTTCCAAGGTATATGACCCGGAAGCCACCAAGCACTAGGAAGAGGAGCAATGCCACTTAGACAAATAAGTTCTTCATTAGTTTTTCTCCTTCTCTCTTAATTTTCTCTGCCTCTGATCCCCTTAGATGGAAGCCCCTAACCACTCCTAAGGCAAGGCCGACAACGAGGGGCTGCCGCAGCAGGTAATTCTGTCAAACCACTGTCCAAATAAAGCTTGTTGTTCACCACCGCCACACAACCCCACATTTCTGCTTGACCCCTGAAATTATCAAACTGTCACAGCACCGCTGGTTTTCCTCCTGAATAATAAATCAGGCTAAAGAAGCCACACATTTGCTTTTGACAAGGCCCACGTAAACAACAAAACCAACTATATAATTCAACAGGTTTTATATCTTTCATGCTTAAACTATTGATAGACTGTTCCAAGAACAGTCTATGTATGGGTGAAAATTAATAAAAGTGGCACAGTAGCAGATACTGTGGCATCGTGGAGTTAAGCAGCTTCTTGGTAAGCCCATATGCCACATTCTAGTTCTTGGATTCCTGCCTCTCTTCTAGCAGAACCAGACAGAGTTCCTAGCTCTTAGTTCCAGCCTGGCTATCATGGGCAGTTGGAAAGCAAACCAAAAGAAATGAAAGATCTTTCTCTTTCTGTCACTGTGCCATTCAAAAAAAAAATTTCAGTATAGTGAAGACTAATCACTGCTGTGAAACACAGGAGAAAAGTTTGCCAAAAGCATGAGAGTACTAACTCACTAGTTCACATTGTGTACTTCCTGCAAACACCTGCAACACGGAAGGTAACCTCGACTCTGGCTTCCACGAATGGTGCTGATTTTAAGGTACTGACAAAATGTTCGTTAAAAATAGTTCTGTCTCCCCCAAAAATGCTGTAATAAGGCAGTTTGTATTTGTTCACATGCTCATTTTCAATGAATAAACAACTCCCTAATATATCTAAAACTGCTCAGATATGTGTCATTTCTTACATCTCAGAAGGCTTAGGTGAGTGGCCTTTCTGACTGGATGACACCTTAAGACAGGACTTTACAACAAAGTCACAGGCTTACAAGACAAAGATTCTCTGTCCAGCAGAGAAAAAATGGTTAAAAAACAAACAAACAAACAAACAAAAAAACCCCACAAAATTCCTTTGCAGGAAGGAAAAAAAAAAAAAGATCCTACTCAAGTGCCAGCAGGATTCAAGATCTCATTTCTCATTGGAAAGAACAGTCTCATGACTGTAAAACTCCAGCTTCTCTCCCGCAAGCTCCTGTGACTGAAGACTTGAATGAAAAACCAGAGTCTGCCCTTGAATGGGGCTTCTGAATGTGGTGCGCAATATGTAACTTCAAAAAATGTATGCTAATTCTATACTGCAATAATCTACATATTATAATATTAATTATATCATATATTAACATTTTATCGCTTGGTACCTTGGAACATGGGGTCTAGGAAATGGAACACATCATATGCATGCTGCCACGCTACTCCTGGATAAACTGCCTAAGCATGCTCCCTTCTCAACAAAGCTCAATGAAGCTTAAGCAGAGACTTCAAAAGACAACTCATAGGGCAACAACGTGTGTCCAACGAGTCGGTTACCAATGAGGCAGCCAAGAAACAGGACTAGGAAGAGGCGGGGTGTAGCCTACCCTGAAGGGCTCCCGTGATCACGGGCACACGGACCCACCCACTGCGCCTGGCACCAAGCCCTGCCACATGGGAACCCAGCCCCTGCGCCTGGCACCAAGCCCTGCCAGGATCCCATGGCCATCAATCAGGACGAGAAAGCGGCCAGCTCAGGCACACTGCTCAGCTGAGGGAAGTAGGCCGGGCACCAGCGCCTCGCCAACAACAACAACGACAGCACTGTCATTCGTAACTGGCCACAGTCCCCCTGCGTGCCAACAGGGTGGCACGAGACCATTCAATCCAGACAAGGGTCCCAAGTGGGCACCAGGAGGACACTGAGGCCTAAGAAGATGAGGCGAACCCTTATGTGCCACTCAGGGTGGAGATCACCCAAGTGAAATGGCTTGATTCTCGCCGAGCCGTTCTCAACCGAGTTCCTGACACACGGCCGTTCCCTCACCCCAGGCCCGGTACCTGACCCAGTCGCTGCCCCCTCGTTCCCCAGCCTCGACCGCGTATCACTTCACCTTCTATCATCACCAGAGCAGACAGAACCGTAAACACCAGCGCGATGCTACGCCGGGAGTGGGCGGGGCTTCCGGAACGCCTCCGGTTCTCCAACAGGCTCCCCCAGGGGCTCGCTCCCGAAGCTTTCAAATCTAGGGGCGGGACGTGGGCCTCGAGGCGACCAATGCGCGCAGGAGGGCGGGACGTGGGCCTCGAGGGGACCAATGCGCGCAGGAGGGCGGGACGTGGGCCTCGAGGCGACCAATGCGCGCAGGCGGGCGGGCTCGTGGGCGGGCCCAGGGTGCGGAGCTCGTCGTTTCCCTCAGGGCTGCCGGCTGCGGGAGGAGACAGCCTGCCTGTGAGCTCCTTGGAGACAGGCCGGTGAGGCTGCAGCCCTCGCACCGGGCTCCACAAGGACTGACTGCCGATTGGCCGGCTAGCTCTCCTCTCCGAGGACCTGTACCATCCTCTACTTTCCCAGAACATTAGTAGGGAGCTGAATTTGAGGTGGAGCAGCCAGAACTCCAGTCGGTGCCTATATAGGACACTGGCACCACAGGCAAGAGGCTTAGCTAAGTTACCGTACAGGTCCCACCCAAATCTGTTACCCCTCTAAAAACTGCCTAAATCAGAGGAATAGAATCAAGCTTGGGACATCATTTGACTCAGTGCAACTTCTAGTTTTTAATATGTCCCATTTTGTGAATCTAGACACTTCACTATTAAACTATTTTATCTGAATGCTTTTGGCCATCAAACAGCACTTTGGGTTCTCTGTCTCTTTGGAAATTTGAGTGGATGATTCGGAAACAATTTTATGTGGCTGCTGATAGAGGTAACTGTGTGTAGGCCTCAGCAGAAACAATTAAACAGTGTTCATCCAGGCATTCTCCCACGAGTATGTTTACGCAGACTCAGCTCTTGAGAACAGATTTCTCGTAATTTGCACTTATCTTCACTTAGCCTCATCGGGAGACCAGGAGTCTCCATCTCAACTGCCTGCCAGAGCAAGGTTGGTAACAGAGTTGGACTAGCAAAGGTGCAAGAAAAGGAAGTGGTCAACT